CAGCAGTGCAGTAAAAGAAGAAAGAAATAACAAATGAATATTGAGACATTCCATAGAAAATGATGTTTTTAATTTTGCAGGTTACAGATAATGTGTTTTTCTGGTACTGTGCTTAATATTATCTGTGCAGACACATCAGGCTCATATTTTGAATTGAATTGGAGTGTTGTTTCTGTGTTTGCAAAATTCAGATGGGAGTCTTGCATGAAAATGCTTTCTCCTCTGCCTGTATTCATAAATACTATGGGAATAGCCCTGTTCACAGCCTGCTGTCCTCCGGTGCTTGGCCAGCAAATCCAAGTCTTAAAACACTTAAGAGTTTCCAAATCACCTCATGTTTCTTCTCAGCTTGCACTGAGATTCTAGGAAGGCTCTTCCTCAATGGATAGCTGGTTCTTATTGCTAAGCTGAGTGCCTAAACACACCTGATGCATAGTTTGACCAACTATAATTTTCCTTTTATTGCTTCTTTTTAGTGCTGATTGTTGTGACATATATTGAAAAGGCCAGGATCACCCAGCCTCATATGCAGACATGTAAACTAAGTGAATGACAAAGCACAAATATGACAGCTACCACCATTCTATCAACATGCAATGTTCTCTGTCAGGTTAGTAGAAATTCTAAATATTTTTCCTTGCCATTTTTTTTTTTAATTGTTTACAATTTTGCATAAATTGTTAGCAGCAGCAGTGTAGAATTACTTAGCAGCAGCAGTGTAGAATTACGGTACATCAGACAAAAACAGAGCAGAAGAGGTAAGAGAAGGCTGAAAAAGGAAGACTTGGCCCTGGTCACAGAGGGCTGGGTTGGAGATTGGATAGGCAAACCAAACACCCCTAAATCCATGGGTCTTGGTGGGATGCACCCACAGTGCTGAGGGGGGCTGCCAGATGTTGTTGCTCTGCTGCTCTCCGTTATAATTGAGAAATCCTGGAGAAATCCTCACAATTCTGTGATTCTGTGACTTCTTTTCACATAATTTTAAAAATACCTATAAACATCCATTAATTGGTTATAAATTAAATGTGTCACCTTTTCAGGAGCACAATGTCACCCATGTGTGTTGTAATGAAACCATTTGGCACTTTAAATTTCCTTACAACACACACTCTAATGTAGCACATAAGTTATTCAAGGTATAAATTAGAGTAACAGTACTTTTGTTAATATTAAAATATGTAGTGAAGGATATTGAAAATATTACCAAACCCCCAACTTGTGTAATATTTGAATAATTCTAGAAAGGAAACTGGTTTTTTTTGTCAGCCATTTCACTATTAAATTAATAACAGATTCTAATACAGAAAAGATGCACAGCTCTTACCAATTTTTAAAATACTACGCTAAGAAATGATGATGTACCATACCATGAAACCATAAACTAAGTAAATACAATCAAAGAATATGAAAAGAGAGTAAAATTCTAGTTTTTCACTTAGTAAAATTGTTTTGGAATAATGTATGCAGAATATTTGCTATTTTTCTGATTTGAAAAAAAAACCAACCAACAGGTTCTCAAAAACACATTAAAGGTGGATTTCCAAATCTTGCTCATGTCCACTGGTAAGTGTACAAATCCTATTAGAAATAGAAGTTATATTGGTCAAAACCAAACAAAACGCAAATAAATTTCCAGTAGATTTTCTGTGCAAAAAATTGAGACAAATAATATTTTGGCAGGCAAGGTAGCTACCACTAGATTATCAAAAAGAGGAGATTAAAGTATTCATGAGACCTTCAAATGGGTGTCCTGCTTCACAAGCATAGTTTGAATTTCAAATAACATGGACTAAGAAGATGCTACAGATCACTGCACTTGCCTGTCAGTGTTACATGTGATGCTTAGCAATTAGTTCTAGGACTTAAATTTGCAGGAAGAGATGATTATGTACAATAAAACCTAGGAATCTTAATTTGACATTGATGGTATGAGTGAAAATGAAGTGTTGTCCTTCCTTCCTTCCTTCCTTCCTTCCTTCCTTCCTTCCTTCCTTCCTTCCTTCCTGCCTTCCTGCCTTCCTGCCTTCCTGCCTTCCTGCCTTCCTGCCTTCCTGCCTTCCTGC